AACTTTCTTTACCTGCTAGGAGAGATTGTTGCTTGACCATGCATTTCTTTTCATAAGAGATAGTGCCTCATGAAATCCATGCAATGACCCTTGCAGAATTATCAGTATTATCCTCCCCTTCCTGTTTTTCAGAGTATGCAGCAATAATGTTACCTTCCTGAGCATGTGGCAATGTATATCTGCTATAGTTATATTCTACAAAAGAGAAGATAAGACGATTTTAAATTTGTAAGCTATCTGCCAGGTTGTAGAATTTAATTTGCAAGACCAAAATTCCGCAATATTGTGTTTATGTTGCAGTGCCATTTACTGTTTAATAGAAACATTCAGAATGCCCTAGTTCCATCTGTTATAAATAGTGAAGTCTGATAAACACTCTGCAAACACAAGATGCAGCTTTCTGGCAAATTATGTTTAGTACAGCCCCCAAACATAAAGCAAGATTTATATTTTTTGCATCACTTTTTTTTAATTTACTCTACAGTAATTACTCTAGAACTTTGAGTACATATATAAATAACTCTCAAAGTTTTACATTAAAATATTGTGTGAGAAGTCAGGAACAAGTATACACACATACACATTTCACACCTTCAGCAGTACTGCAAGCTACAAATCCTGTTATGGCTGAAGAATCTTTGATATAACTACTTGCAAATATATTTGTAATCAGATAAATAGAGTTGAAAGGCAAGCCCCCACACTATTATACATTGTATGGACAAAAATCTCGATTTTCACTTAAGAAAATAGAGGTGAACCAGATGAGTATGAATGGACTTGCAAAGAGCTCTGAGATGAATAGCCAAAGATGAAGTTACTGCTGTTCTCTGTTCACAGGAGAAAGGAAGAAATTGTGTAGCAACAGAGCGAGTGAGTCATTGAACAAGACTGTTATAAAGTGTGGGTGAACTGTCGTAGCAAAAGAAGGTTCCTGCTAATGCTGTTTGGGTGTCATCACTGTGTCACCTGCCAAGACTAAAAACCAAATAATTCTATAGTTAAAGAAAAACAAACTTGCAATCTGAAACACCTGACAGAGTCTATAGAAACATTTGAAAAGACAGAGTTTAAGTAAGTTTATGTCTTCTTTTGCTCAAGCTAGGTGCCACCAGGTGACTCAAGCATCCACTCAAAAATGGAAGAAAGATATTTTTGTTTGTTTTGTGTTTGAAGCCGATTTATTTCAAAGACAAACTCACTGCAGTCACTGCAGACAGTCATTAAAGCTAGTGGATATTTCCTCCACTGCAAAAGATGTTCGTTTATTTTTCCAGTTGAGTTGCCTAACTTTGACTTAGCTGTACCCTCTCTATGACATATTCACACCACTTAAAATTTCCTGGCTGTGTGAGCAGATGATGATGTAGATTGGATTTTTTGAAAACTATGCTAAATTATTTGCTTTTGGAAAGAGAAGGAATAAAAAGTTCTGAGATTAGTTGTACATCTCCTCAATTATACTTGATCTTGGAGTAATTAGCAGGACACATATTCTTTAAGTCAAAAGTTATATTTCAGAAAACAACTGCTTCCCAGTCTCTCACCCCTGTGCAAGCCGCTTCTTCATATAAACAGCCTTAGCTGAGCAGCCAACAGAGCACATTCATTCATGGTTTCATCTTCTGTTTTCCCCAATGTTGTAAGTATTGACTTCTCATGTCAATACAGGCACATGACTTTGATGATATGAACCTCAAACTGTAGAGGAAAACAGAAAGGAAGATGTATATATTTACAACACACTGGTCAATGTAGCTTTATTTTAATCCACTAACATGTTTATTTCTCACTTTTTTCTGCAATAGAGTATGTGTGGTTTCTGCAATAAAAGTGCCACATTTTAGGTATATCAAGTCAGAACATATAAGTAGAAAGTGATCTTAATCTGGAATACAGAAAAGTGTCAAGTAAAAGGATTCTGTCAGAAAGAGAGAAACTTACCGAAAAGGTAGGTCCCTTATCCCTCTGGCCATTATTTCTTTAAATCCTGGAATTTTTAAATGGGCACTGTTCTCATTCTTTGTTTGCGACCTTTTTCAAAAGGACAGGCATTTTCTTATCTTTTTCTTCCTGGAGTCAAGTTAATTTAATTTACTGATCATATCAAAGGCCTAATTGCTATGTACCTGTCTTTCACTGGATTAGTTTAGCTGGGTGTAAGAGACTGTTAAGTAAAGATAATATAATGATTCGTGTGAACACAACAGGTACAAACAAAGTTGTTAACAGTATTATATACCTTGCATTGCTTATCCTGTCTGATAAGCAAGCTCAATAACATTTAGCTTTGGCACAAAATGTAGCTTCATCAAGAGCGCGACTCTTTGGACCAATTTTTAGATGTAATGAAAGTAAAAAAGAAGGCTCCTGATTCAGAAATTGGTTTTGCCCAGGGTTCCATTACCTCTCAATCATCTGCCCTCCACGTGCCTTGTGAAGAAGTCAGTGTTTTATGCAGGAGCTACTGGAAATTATGATGTGGTCTAGTATGAGGAACTAAAACATGTCTATTGTGTAGAACTGGAATTTATGCTAGTTTATCATAGGTTGTGGTGTTATGTGAAGTAGTTTAGTTTATGCAGGAGAGACAGGGATGTTCAAGAGAAGTATGATGGATGGAAGAGGTGGACATTCAGCTGTTGTCTGCTGAGTAGCCATTTGTTTGCATGAATCAGCACCCTCATAAAAATCCCTGTTCCTGTTAAGTATCAGGTAAGATCTGTGGAAAAAGATCTGTACTTTGAGCCTAAATTACAGCATCCATATACCACTGAATTAGGCCAGCAGAACTAATTAATTAGTCATAGAGTCAAAGTCATTTAGACTGAAAGAAACCTTTCTCTGTAAGGGATCTGGTCTGATCCACCATTCAGAGTAGGTCTGTCAGGTTACTCAGGTCATCCAATCAAGCTTTGAGTATTTCTAAGGGTGGAGGTTCCTCAGGGTAGAGATACCTGTGGCTACTTACCCTCAGTAGGAGTAATTTTATTTTCTCTTAATATTTTACCAGAATTTCCTTTGTAGCTGTTTGTGGTCACTCCATCTCCTGCTTTCACTCTGTATCTTCAAGGAGAGTCCAGCTTCATCTTCCCAAGACCCCCCAAGAGGTATTTGTAGACAGCAACTCCCCCAGCATTCTCCAGGCTAAACAAACTCAGTTCTTGTAGGCTTCTCCTCATAAGTCATGTACTTCAGATTTTAATCACTCAGAGTAAATAAACATTTTATCTAAACTTGTATATCAAACATTCTAAAGTGTTCTGCTCTTGAAATTCAAGTTCTAGACATATAGCAAACTTATCTTTGTGTTCAGGAGACAGAAGAGCCAAAACAAATTACAAGATCTATCCTAGATGCTTGTAAATTGGCAGGATAACCTAATATTTAAAGTGTCTGAATTAATTGCTGTGATCCTTAGATAAATTAACAAAGATGTATTTGTAGGCTTATATGTGGTATTATTGCAGAGATGAACAAGGAGCAACATTATTTTCTTCTGTCTGGTCTTTAAAAATACTTGGAGCTTTCTTTGGAATCTTTTTTAATTTTTTAAGGTTTGGAAACTACACCTAAAAGTCAGAAGCAATTAATGACTTTCATTTATTAAATTTCGCCAACAGGAAAGCCAGTGGTTATTTGACCATAGTCTGTCAGTTTGTACACTGGGATGAGACTTAGATCAGAGAACTGTGAAATCAACATATAAAGTTCTGTAGTTAGAAGACAAACATATCAATTAAAGCTAAAATAATATGCATCATTTTAGCATGATGGCAATTTACAGTCAAAACAACTTACCTTCTTGTAATAATAATTAAGGAATTTATCACTATGTGAAGCCATTAAATTATGATTGTGTGTCTTTCTAAGATATGTTCTCCAGCCCGGTCAGAAATTATAGGTTAGGGATTACTGGGTAAAGTATTGTGAAAGCTCAAAGTAAATTGTCAGAGTCATTACTTCAGTTTTTAAATCCGTGGATGTATAAAGCAGAACCAGAGTGATGTGCTACAAAGTTAGTCCCGAACGGCTGCCTGGACTGGAATAAACACCTCACTTCTATGTCAGATGCTGCCATCCTCTCAATTTTTCAAATTTCTAATCACCTGCATTAATTATTACAACATCTGTGCCAAAAGATGGCAGGAGGAAAATATGGTTTGTTTGGGTTTTGTTTTGGTTTTTTTTCTTATATATATATATACATATATATATATATATATATATATATAAATTAGACTGTCTTCTTTTGATATTTCAGCTTGGGTTGTATCTCATATTGCAATTAACTCATTTTTTTAAAGGCAATTTCTGACCACTAAGCATAATGAAAATGAAACTCAAATAATCTAGGTGGATTAGAGTTTCTAATAACTTCTGGGTCCTTTGAACTTACATTATATTTCTTGAATCTACTGTGATTGAAAGTCTACAAAACAAATAAAATCCAATAAAACATTATGCATATAACTTCAGAAGAGAACAGTGTTCCAAATCTAGGAAATAATTTGACTCTCGCCTTTTGGCTACCCGTGGAGGTAGAGAAACATTTAGATCACCCATGGAAAGCTCTTAGGACAATTATGAACTAAAATCTCTGCACTTCATCTTTCTGTGATGTTCCTAGTCAGAAAAGCATTAGGTTTCAATTTTCCATGATTTCCTCTAAAAAGCCCTCTCTTCCTCACTGGGACTCCTCCTGCTTTGCAGGACTGGGCTCTTTACCCTGGAGCTATTCCGCCGCTTCTGGAGTAGCATACCATGTGCATCCCTTAGCTTCCTTACACAACAGGTTGCAGTAAATCTTCAATTTAATATCCTAAACCCTTTTTTTTATGAGGCATAGATATAAGCTTTCCTTCAGTAAGTGATCCTTCCTCAGCTTTCCAAAAGCACAACCTAACTTGAAAGCCTAAAATAAATTGCATATACGTTCTATAGAAATCCTCTAAACAAATAAAACAGAGAGCCATTTTATAGCAGTAATAATTTCTTACTTGCAAGTGTTTCAGAAGACTCCCACAGCAGCAGGTGTTAAGGAAGCATCCATCTGTTCTTGTTGCTCTGCACAGAAGTATATTGAATAGATAAGAGCTTCTAAATGTTCAGGGTTGTCATTAAAATGGGTTAGCTGTGATCGTCACTTAAGGCATTCCTGATATTGAAATTAAAATGAAGACCATCTCTGGTTCTGTTGCAATTTGAGAATGCGATCAATGGTTCCCTGAAGAAACATCCTGTCAACTGGGTACTTTTTAAATTATCTTCTGAAAAGCACTTCAGTATTCCTGCAACTGAACTGGAAATGCTGTATCAGCAACATTACCGTTCTCTGAAAATATGGATCAAACCCCAGCTGTTGCAGATATGTTAATTGATGAATTAAGTTAAGGGATCTGAAGCCTTTATACTGCACTTGAAACTTATGTTTCTATTTAAATATTGAAGGCTTTTCAGCTTTCTCCTCCAATGTGAAAAATTACTTGAGTCACTTCTAAGGCAGGCTTCAGAGTCTATAAACGTGAATGCTACAGTATAAAGACCAGAGGACTGGAGCTTCACCAATGCAGCAGTGAAATCAGCATGAGAAAGGGGAGATAGCACACAAGCTGTGAAAAACAACACATCATTTTTTTCAGAGGTGAGACAGAAAATATATAGGGCAATAGTATGAATGAAACTACAAAACAGTTATAAACTTCTACACACTCTGAGGTGTTCTTATACCTTAGGTATTTATATTTAAGCTACTATGTAGTCTTATATTCAGATCAGAAAATGGATGCAAGGAGTGTGAAAGTGTTAAGAATGAAAACTGCCTCTTTGCTCTTTTAGCATTGTACCCCACTCAACAGGAGGAAGCAAAGGAAGGTTTTTGCATGTAGTATATATAACACTTACAATACCTTTATAATTAAAGCTAAAATAATACCAAGTGAGGTATTAAGGCTTTGTATTAGTTTGTGATTTGCAAAGTCTGGTAGCTTCCATCTAAGAAAATGCTAGCACTACCTTGTTTGCCAAAGTCCGATGTGTTCATTATGTTTTCATATTCTGTATTCCTATGATACTTTCTCCTCTCATGAAGGGACTTCACTTCCAGTCCTATGGAACACTTTGCTATTTGTATGTGAATAACTTGGTCTGGATACCTGGTAGCCAAATATTCTCATACCATGATGGAGCAGTTCTGATATTGCCAACCACAACTGTTTACAGATGAATCTATCAGCAAAACTTCAGGATCTCAGTTTTGAAACCATCAGTTAAAAAAATAATAATACAGAGCTTTGCATTTCCCAAAGAATACTCTCAAATAAGCAAAAGCAGGTCAGCCTCCAGTTGGTATGGGATCTTTCCAGATTTAGAGTCCAGCCTTAAATGCAGTTATAAACATAAACCTCAGATTGGAATTTTGCGGTTTATGGAATACTTGATTTTTTTTCCTTGGTTGTTGACTTTACTGAGAGTCTTAGATCTACAGAAATGTGAGTAAACTGGTTTTGGGTTTTTTTTTCTTCAGAAAATAATTTTTAGCAATTTTTTTGTTGATAAGTGGTAAAATTTTGAGAACAACATTGTTACTCAGGAAAAAAACCACCAACAAACAAAAAAATAACCCACCCTACCATGATCTGGACAACAGAGCATGCAATATACTAATTTGTTTGATAGAAAGTTATAGATTGTGTGCTAGGGTTGTTTTGGCACTGGGCATTTTGCTAAGCCACCTGCCAGGTTAAGCCACTCTAATCATGTAACCATGGTAATACTGCTGGCGTCAGCGTGAAAGACTGATTTGTGCAGCCAGTAAGGACTGGGCACCTTAATGCATTAACTGGAGCTGTTAGGAAATGTTTGGAAATAAATATGTAAAATAGGTATAAAAGGTTCTTTTAGATTGTTTAGTGTTTTGCTTCAGGCAATATTTGTTAACAGCAGGCCACCCTATTTATCGGGCTAAGTGAGCGTGGTTGTGAGCACTGAAATAGATAAAAAACTGCTAGTAAATAACTGTTAGTTGATTCTGCTCTGTTGCTTTGCTTCTCGTGCTTTGACGAGAAAGAACTGTTCCATTTTTAGCAGTAAGTGTTAGCTCATGCTTGTGTTCTGTTAAAATAAACCTGTAACTTACAGCAGTAATTGCAGAAAATCTGAAAATAAGACAAACCCAACAAAATTTGGAAGTTTTAATTAGGCTCTATAGAAATGGCCAGTGAGTTGGTCCAAGTGTTGATATCATATATTATACCTCTTCTTCCTATCCCTCTGTTGTTTTTCAAATGTTTTTCCCAGACACACATTTCCTGTCCCTCTCACATTTGCCTTTCATATGCCCCTCAGTTATGTGTTTTCCTCACACCTTTAATTTGCAGCTACACTGCTCCTCAAGTAATGGGTTTGTTTTTTTCCAGAGAGGCAATGATCTGATGATATACTGTCGCCAGCATCAGTACTGACTTAATTAATTTCTACCCCTGTGTCAACACAAGCAGTGTGGACTGTAATGTGAATCAGACCAGAAAAGAGATCCACTTTAAAGTAAAAACCTCAGTACTTCTTCTTTCCAACTTCCCTTTTTTCAGCCAGGTGCCCAATTCACACAATAGCCCCACAAGCATAAGTATATGTAAATATAATCAAAGAAATGCCTTGGTGAATTTTATAGAGGGTGGAACAGAGTACTGTTTATTTCTGAATTTGTGGCCAGATGAGGGAAAAAGATAAACTTATAAAATCTGTATTTACCCTCCAAACCAAAAAGCTATTTGCATGAGAAGAAAAAAGGGAGTCCTTAATGACCTCTCTGTATGTTTTTATGTTGTGTCTACTTTGGTTTGCTTACTAGCAACATTACTTGACATATTACTTTCATGGTAAGAGATTATTTTCATTTGTCACATCTTATTTTAGTGGTCTGAATTCCAGTTGACACAGATAGCCCAAATTGCTGCACTATGCCGTGGCCCAGTTATTGCCAACTTTTCTTTATTCTCTCAATTTTCTTTGGTCTTCCTCCAGAACTTTTTCTTTAGCTCTCTCATTCCTCTCTTTTTCCTGTTTTTGGTCATTTGTCATGGTGAGTGCCAATTCTCAGCGGTTCACTAATTTGCCAAACAGCACTGTGCTTTCTAGAGTGCGTTTGTGTCCCCCGGACTGTCAACTGTTGGATTCTGTATAGAATAGTTGCTGCATTAGCACATATATTTGCTTCTGTGCCGAACCAGGATTTTTGCAGGCTGTGGAAAAAATGAACTTATGATTTCATACTGAAATAAAGGAATTAAAACTTTTAAACAACTGTTGCAACAGGAGCCCACTTGCAAATGTGGGGTTATGCACCTTTTTCAGTCTCTGAAGCTCTTCCTTTTGCTTTTATGCCCTGTTGCTGTGTGGACTCCATTTGAACTGTCTTAGGCAGTCAGGATAAATATCCAAGCCAAGGAAGTTCCAAGTGTATACTTGCAAATAATGAGAAGTTGCTCAGGGCTCTAGCATTTCTGTTTCTTTTCATTCTTTACATTTGAGAACAGCAGAATTTAACCTAGAAGCTAGCTGAAATATACTTGGAAAAAGAATATGTTGCTTTCAATAACTTGAAATATCTAAGGCTGCTTTAAGTAATTCCCTTCATTATTCTGTAGTTACTCAGAAAATAGGGCCCAATTCTCTCTTGAAAAATTAAAAACCTACTATGAAGATCAGATGATTCTTTCACATTCTTTTGGTTTATTGTGTTTTGCTAACAGGCAGGAAAGAAGGAGCACAGAGAGCAGAATAATAACTAAAATCAACAGAGACAGAAGAGATACATAAATAAAAGCAGACTCAGAAGAGAAAGGAATCATTCATAAGTGAAGGTCAGCAAACAGTATGCCCTGTTATTGCACTTGATTGTTAGAAGTGTTGATTTTGATGCTTCCTGAAAGTTAAGAAATTTAATTATTTTTCCAAACTGCACTGCTTTGGGTCTGCAGACTACAGGGAAAGAGCAGTTGTAGGCAAAAGCTGCCACATCTGAATTTTTCACTGCCAGGAAATAGCACAGAAGCATTCTTGCCTGTTTAGTGTGTATTAAATCATGGATAGAAAGTCAACTGCTTATCTGGAGTCTGGCATAGATTTCCAATAACTCGCTTTTCCTCAAGCACAAACATACAACAACACTTGAGGAAAACCACACAGCGAATCTTTTATAATCCAAAAGTAATCTTGTTAGATTTCCATGAGGAAACAGTAATTATTTATTCAGTCATTTTCTGTCACCTTGCAATTAAGTCAAGCGCTGACACAGATTGCCAGATCATTTATGCCCCAAACTGTTCAACAGAGATGATGTCTTCTGGTACTGAGGATTAAAAAAATGAAAACTTTATGGCTTTTAATAGTAATAATAGCAAACCCAGTATACAGAGTTACTACATAGCCATGTATATTGCTGTGTAATAGGTAGTCACTGTTTTGCTTCACAGTTGTGCTCCCCAAGCTAATCTATGTTTATAGTTAAGGTCATATTCTGTTTGTGTACTATGCAGGATGATGGTATTTATGTCATGGTATTTTGACAAGTCAGTCTACAGGCTTCCATCACCTTATTGTTTTGGCTATTGCTATCCTACTCTAGAGAATTTGGCCTAGTTTTAACAGGGATGTCCATGTGGCTGGATAGGCAACCATAACATATTCCATCCATGTAAAATCCCTGTAGGTATTTTACATCACGCTGAAAGTTGACACTGTGTGAGGTGTCTTCTTGTGTGACACTTACTCCACAAGGTCTTTAGCACATATGTGAAGGCCCTAAAAGTGCTTTCCCTCACTCGTCTGCCCATATATATAGCACAATTTCAACAGGCAGTCCTTCATGAGCAGTTCTGCCCAGCAGTGTTCATTAGTATCGACCTTTATTTCACTGAGACCAGTTATGACAAATTCAACTTGAAAGTCAGGAGAAGTATGAGAGAAGAAGTCTGTAGAGAGGACCAGGCATTCCCTACCTGGTCTCCTTCTATCTGAGGGCAGTGTTGCTGTCTTGTGACAGCAAGTCACTGAGTGACTGTATGCCTGGCAGCTGGCCTTTAGTAGAGTCTCCACTGTTACTGAGTTTTGTTTAGTTGCATCATATGTATCTGTTTCAGACACCAAGTGACTGCCAAGTAACATACCATATTCATAGCTCAGGGATAGGAGCTCTCAGAAAGCAGCAAGCATGGGTGGTCCCACAAGGGAAGGAAACCAGGAGCCAAGGGCAATAGCAAGGCAGGTAGGGCAATGATCTCACTAGGTGGGCACAATGCCACAGTATCTGAGCAGGTACCATGCTAGTGAGCAGTGTCAGCCAGCATTCAAGACTACAAGACATGTCTGCAGTGATGAAGCAGGTGCAAGGTCAAGCCAGCAAGTCAAATCAGTGGTTCAGGATCAGCAAGGCACATGGACAGGCACAGGCATACCTAAGGCAAGTCTCAAGGATAGAGGCCTGAGTTCAATGCAGTTCCCAAGCAAAGAGCAGGAGGCCCCCGAGAGGCTTCCCATAGCTCCCTCTCACACAGCTCTGTCCCCAGCAGCCTGATCCAAGGCTACAGCTGCACAATATCAGAGCTGCAATGGAGCACGGACAGCCAAACCCCAAGGCAGGGGGAAGAGGCTGCAGAGCCTCTCAGAGCCCTGACAGCAGCATGCTTATTTCCAGATTTCCATCCAGTCCAGAAGGTATCAGTCTCTTAAAAGTAATCTTGTTAGAGGCAAGAGACAGCTGTTCAGGGCTGGAATGTTTACTGCAGCCCGGTAAAGTCTGCAAAGCCATATGTTGTTTGATCCTCTGCTCCCTGGCTGTTTACCAATTCAGTGTCCAGAGGACCAGTAGTTTGAGTTGTGCCAGAATTGCTGACAAACACAAGCCCTTCTGCTGGCCCATGAGGGAAGACAGAAGCGCCATAATTATATGAGATTACATTCTGCAGTACTTAGTGATCCATCGTACCCTTGTGATCATCACAGTGTTCATCTGCACTTTCAGGTCTGAACTGCTGCCATTTTGATAAGCAGCCTTGCACAGACCTGGCAACAGTATCATTGTGCCATATATGAATGTCCCCATCCTGACAACCACTGTGTCTCAGTGAGTGCACTGATGCTGGTTTTTTGACTGACATGATGCCAGTGTACACCTTTAAGATCATGGTGGCCTGTCATACTCTTAGTGATTTGCAGGAGAAAGTGGGGAGTGTGGTCAAACTGGAGGGCTCGAGATGCATCAGTTAGAGTAGCCTGACAAAAATGTTAGCCTTGGCCTTAGCAGAAATTATCTGTCCTTGCAACACCACTTTAACTACAATCTGTGGCCTATAGGTGGTAGTATTATGTCAGAGACTTCATAGTCCTTTACAATTTCCAGGCTTGAAAATGTGCCTCCTGTCTGTCTCTTTCCTTCATGCTGCTCCTTTTCAAGCCTCTTTCCTTCTCCCCCAATGAAAAAAACCCATTACTTCTGTAATTTTCCCTTCTTCTCTTTACTATATGAAAAGCCAATTCCTTCTCCAGCTGCCATAACAGATAACAGCCACTTGATTGCCATGAGACCCAACAGGCCAGGCCTGGTCCCTGCCACGAGCAACCATCAGAGTGAAATGCTTGTAGTAACCAGCTGTCTTTGCTCTTTGTCTACAATTTAGGGAAGTTCATGACAGAAGAAGGATGAGAAGAAAGACTGAGTGCTGACTGCTGTCCTCCCCCTTCAGATAAAACATTCACAATATTTTGGCTGAAATACAACAATACATGTAGTAAAGGCGATCCTTCTGACTGCAGTCAAATCAGTTTAGGACCCAGCCCATCATGGGACGCTGAGAGAGCCACTTTTATTGAAACCCCAGTGCAGTCCTAGAAATACAGTGACCAGAAGGGAAGGCTCTTTACCTTCAGTGCCCAGTTACTTTCAGCTACAGATCCAGGCTAAGGATCACCTGCTTTTGCATTCGATAAAACAACCTCTTACCTTCAGATAATGTAATGGAAAAAGATGAAAATAAAAATTAAGACCAAAACAGCATTTCTGGCATTGTGGGGACCTCTTGTTGAATCTGGTGTGCAGGGTCTCCATCCCACTGTTGTTGGTTTCAGCACATCATGTTGGGGTGAATGATGCCATAACTCACAACGAGCATTGCAGTTTTCTGCTCTTGCCCTTTGCTGGCAGGTGCGGTCAACAGTTTCAGCTCCCTGGTTTTGAGTTCACTGCTGAACCAAGAGGATTGGGCCTGGAATTGGCAAGAGATAAAGGCAACAAGGCTGAATCAATCCACAGGTTGTAAGCCTGTAAGGTTGCTTCAAAAACTGGGTTTTGCTGTCTTGCCCTGTGTGCTAGTTCTGCCTGTTCTCTGTCTCACCAGTGCCCTAAGAGGGGTGCTTGAGTAGACCAAACCTTTCAAGTACTTACAATTACAGAGCATCGTGAAATAACCTCTTTGCCATAGATCAAGTTGTCCCACGTCACATGGGCAGTAGTCCAGAAGAACTGCATTTTAGGCAATTTGGACAGAGGGAGTCCATGTGAATTTTGTGAACAGTGATGCACTGACTCATCTTGAGTAACATTTGTCAGAGAAAGCTATAGAAGCACTGAGCCCCTTACAAGTGTGTGGGAGTTTAGGCTGGTGCCTGTATAGCCCAAGGTACTCTGATGCTCTTTAGCTTCAGAAATGCCATTTATTCTAAAGGTGATTGATATAGAGAATATGCTCTAAGAGTGTTTTATTGTGAATAGTTGGCACAGAGGCCCTTATCCCTCCAATTTGTGGTTCTCTGACTGGCTGGCAGGCATTGTACCACTTTCTGTTTTACCGTGCTAATTGTTCACCTTCCTGCAGCACAGCTGACAGCTGCTAGAAACAGCCAAGATCAGGTTGTGCCCTCCGTGGGCAGAGAAACACTCATGGGGACCTCTCATGTACAAAAGGATGTACATGTGTGTGTATATATATATATACACACATCTCAGCTTGCATATAATGAATTTGTTAGAACAGATGGCTGCAGACCTCTAAGGACAGCACCTATGTTTTTTTATAGATGGTAGTCTGTCCTGTGAAGTACAACAGCTAGCCATTTGCTGGCATAAATTGCTGGTATAATTGCCTGGTGATTTCAATGAAGATTTAAGTAAGCAAAAGCCTCCATGTCTTAAACTAACATGAGGTAATGTATAAAGTCTGTAATTCTCATCATCTTCTCCTAGGTCATACTCCATCCATTGCTAATTGGCTCTCTGGGCACCCCATTTTGACTTACAATAATGTTTACAACCTTTCCTTGATAATTTATTGTGCAGATAGGTCAGACTACAAATGCAAGCTGCTTTTACTCCCATTTCTTTTGCATAATAAGTGCCTGAACTGGAACTACACTCTCACCTACCTGTTAGTGCTTTCCCATGTCAGTATCTGCTACTGTTAAGTGTGGAAAAAGGGCGTGACTTGGCCACTAATATTTCAGTGTGACTCTTCTGCTTAACTTCAGGGTATGCCTCGTGACTCATTTAGGAGTTTCCTCGGTACATACATAAGTAGGTCTATTTCAAGGCTCTTACGTTAGCTAGTTGTCCTAGATATTATTCCTTTGGAAACTCATATTCACCCACAGCCTTGTCATGATTTGGGACCGCACAACCTCTGAAAATCCAAACACATGGTATGGTTACTCACACCATAAAGTATATAGAAGGTTGGGTTGGCTCACTTTACCAAACTCTGAGTAGATGGCTCTGGTGATTGCTCTCTATGAACTGACATCAAAATGCAGTGTTGCGCTTTCCCAATTAATAATGCTCCCTCTGTTAATTTATTTTTTAATGACCACCATGACAATTAAAACTTCCCTGATTGCAATATTGTTTTGACATTTTGCTAGCAGAGATCATGTATCTCAGTCTTTTATTTTAAGTTGAATTTTTTATTTTTTTTTTTATTTTAGGGCTAGAGTACACCTTTCTGTTAAGGCTCCTGATCAGGAAAGCTTCAGGGGTGTGTGTAATGTTAGACATTGTTCAGTTGAGTCTGAATAATACGGGTTTTGTTTCCTTCTTCTTTGTCAAGCTTTTTATAACTATCAACTTAAAGATATATGTCTCTTTAAAATAGCAGCCATACAGGACACAATATGCACTGGTGACAAAATCTTTGTCCCAGAGTATATAGATACAAAAGTGAATACCAGGAATGAGCAGCCCAGAGTGTTGTATGTAAAAATCCTGAGTGCCTTGTACTCAGTATAGCAAAGCGAGGTTTTCAGATGGATAAAAAAAAATTCGCCCTACCAATGTGCAAGCTTTGACTTGAAGATGCTGCATGAAAATTGAAACATCTCAAGGGTGAGAATGACCCATGAAGAAAACTCCATCTTTAACAGACAAACCCCATAAGCACAGGCTTTCACATAGAATCATTAAGGTTGGAAAAGACCACTAAGATTGAGTCCCACCATTACCTTAGCACTGACAAGTCCAGCACTAAAGCATGTCCCTAAACACCACATCTATACGAGGTGGAATTTTTGAATGATTCCAGGGACAGTGATTCCACCACTTCCCTTGGCAGCCTGTTCCAATGCTTCATCCTTTCTGAAAAGAAATTTTTCCTCGTATCCAATCTCAACCTCCTCTGGCACAACTTGAGGCCATTTCTTCTTGTCCTGTCACTTGGGAGAAGAGACCGATCCCCATCCCGCTACATCCTCCCTCCAGGGAGTTGTGGGGAGCTATAAGGTCTCCCCTGGGCCTCCTCCAAGCTGAACAATCCCAGCTCCCCCAGCCGCTCCTCACCTTTCTGAAGGCTAAAAACCGCTCCTAACCCGCAACACCCGTCTGCAGGGCAGGGGGAAAAGTCCTTTTCAACATGACGCTACTATTTAACAGTATTATTTATAGAAGAAAAGCGCCTAAAATAAACCCTTCCCACTGCCACCACCCCTGCCCGGGCCTGAGGCCGCGGGGCCGACCCCGCCCCTGCCTCGCTGCCCTCACTGCTGCCCTTCTCCGCCACGGCGGCAGCAGCTTCCCGGCAGGCAGCACAGCGCCCGCCGCCGGTCGCGGGCTTTGTTCGTCTCTGCCTGCGTCGCCCCCGCCCCTTCCTCCCTCCTTCCTCCCCTCCGCGCCCGTTCCTCCTTCCCTCCCTTCCTCCCTCACTTCCCGGCCTGGCCCGGCCCGAGCGCCCGAAGCGGCCCGAAGGAGCGAGCAGGCCCCGCGTCCCTCCTGCTCCGGGCGAGAGCCGGGGGGCCCTGCGGCGCCGCCGGCCCCAGCGCTGCGGTGAGCGGCGCCATGGCCGACGGGGCGCGGGCGGCGCTCTCCGAGTCGGGCTGGTAAGTGCGGCCGAGCTGGGCCGCGCCGCCGAGCGCGCCCTCGGGGTGACTGCGAGCGGTGGCCCGGGGGGCCCTTGTGTTTGAGGCTCCGGCTCGGAGCCCCTGGAGGCGGCTGCGGGGAGGGGTCTATGTTTCCCCCGGCGCGCTCGGGGCCCGGCGAGGGCTCGCTCTGGGAGCAGCTCCCGGGCCCTCCCGGCCGCCCTGCGGGCAGGGCCGACAGCCCGAGCAGGGGCCAGCCCAGACCCTTCCCGGGGTCGGCGGCGGCCTGCCCGCTCCTGCCTGCCCCGGGCCTGCTCTGCTGGAAGCCCGGCGCTTGACCATAGTGCTGTTGTTCATTACACTGTACACCTTTTCAGCAAGGAGGGGAAGATGAAAGTGGTGAAACTAATGTAGGGTAAATGAGGCATACGTGAGGCTTGACCTCGGGTAGTTGTGTTTTCTACTCGGCCCTAATCGTTGGGCACACAAGATCCATTTTGAACAGCGTTTTGACGAGTTGTGCTTTTTAGATACATGCTGCAAACTGTTATCTGCTAGCCTAGAGGGGATTTTGCACTGTAGGAATTTGTTTTGTTGGGTTTTTGCATGTTTGTTTACTTGCTTCTTAGTTGTCACTTTGACTTTTTTCTTTACTTCCTTGGAAGTCTTTGACCAAAACAAAAGTTAATGCTAACTGCACCAAAGCACAGAGTGACAGACTTTGGATGTAATGAAGAAAAACTGCTCACACAAAGCAGGGTTATTGCCAGTGGTATTCTGAAGATGTTCCTATTGTGCTGTTTGTGGGTCTCCTGGATTGCGGTTTCATGTATGGCTAAGATGTAAAAAATTAAAGCAGATGTCATATGATTTAGAATAAAAGAAGAATAGTTCATGTGGAAGGGATCTACAACATTTAGTCCAATTGTTTGACTGCTTTAGGGCTGACTAAATCTTTATGTTATTAAGGGCATTGTCCAAATACCTTTTAAACACTTAAAAGGCTCGGGGCACCGACCATCTCTCTAAGAAACCTGTTCCAGTGTTTGATCACACTCTTGTTAAAGAAATGCTTCCTAATATTCAGTTTGAACCTTCCCTGACACAACTTTGAACCATCCCTGTCTGTCCTATCACTGAATATTAGGAAGAGGAGATCAGCACCTACCTGTCCACTTCCTCTTCTCAGGAAGCTGTAGAGAGCAATGAGATCACGCCTCAGCCTCCTTTTCTCCAAACTAGACAAACCCAAAGTCTTCAGCTGCTCCTCAAAGCACCTGGCAGCAGCTTTGTTGCCCTCCTCTGGACATATTCAAGGACTTTCACATAGTTTTCCAGTGGTGTACACATTACTCCAGATGAAGCCACACCAATGCTGAATACAGTGGGATAATCACCTCCTTTAACCAGCTGGTGTGGCTGTGTTTTTTATCCCAACTTTTACTGTGCTACTTTGTGATAATACTGACAGTGTCTTTAAGTCTGCTTCGTGGATAAGTGTTTCAGCTTTCAAAAATACTGTTGTAAGTGGTTCCAGAGTACACAATCCTGTGATTCCTGGCTATCACTGAATTGAAAGAATCAGTTATTTCTGCTACTTTTCATAACATTATCTTATTTAATGGGAATTTTTGACTGTTAACTTGAAGCTAACCCCTCTCCGCTTCTGTACTTACTCCTCTCTGAAAAGGCAGAAGTCTTCCATAGAAGTGGTTTTTATTTTCATAGTTTTCTTTCTTTCTGTTGCCTCTTCAAAATTTTATTGCACAGTTTTCAGCTCTTAGTTGTTTTACTGTCTTTTCAGTTGAATGAGTGCCATTGGTAAAGGGTTTTGAGGTTTTGGCAGTACAAATATGAGGTGCCTCTGAAACAATCTGTTACTCTGCAGTGTTTGCCCTCCCTCCTTGGGGGCTTATACTCCTGAATGGCC